GCCGCCGCGCACCCCCACCTCGCTTCCCCCTGTCTGATGGGAGGGCAGGTCGGTCCGGCGGGAGTCGGGCAGGCGGACGGGAAGCGGTCGGCCGTGGGGAGCAGGGGTGCCCTGAGGTCTCCTCAGACTCGGAAGGGACGTCATGGTTTTTATAGTGACGGGGGCTCTCTAGATGGAAACTTGTGCGCCTTCACTTTCCTCACAGTGTGGTCAGGGAGGGGTGCTGCGTTCGGCGGCCCGCTCGCTCCTTCTGCTGAATGGAGAAGGCCGGTCCTCCCGCGGGACAGCGGGAGGTGAGGACTCCGGGCGGCATGAAAAGGCAGAACAGGGGTGTTTAGTTTGTCCTCGGTTTTTGTTTTTTGTTTTGAGGTACCAGAGAGGGGGGCAGGCACTTGGGGGATTTACTGCCCCATGCGGTGAAACAACCTGACCAGTTTTAGGTATCATATACTGTACCTTGGTTTTGGTGGGTATGAGGTGGTTGTTACCTGCTTTTTCAGCTCAAAGAACAAAATGCCTTAGGGGCTGGCTCTGTAAATGGTTTGGCTCTCTTCCGTTTGCTCCCAAGTCGTGCCATGGCAACACATCTGGCAAATGACTAGCATTTGGCAAAAACAGGGGCAAAAGGCCTGGTGTATGGCAGGGCGAGCTGGGCACTAGAGGATTGATACAGGATGGGGACAACTTTATATGATGGTTCATCCTGCCTGCTCCCTCCTGGCAGTAGTTCTAAGTTAAGCTGGTGAACTGGGATGGATCAGATTGCTTCCATCAGACGTTGGAAGGCAGAGGTGCTCTCTGAGCATTATTCATTTATTGCCATAGAGTATCTCCAAATGCAGATGGTGACAGCAGCCACGAAATTAAAAGACACCTGCTTCTTGGGAGGAAAGTGATTACAAACCTAGACAGCATCTTGAAAAGCAGAGACATCACCTTGCCGACAAAGGTCCACATAGTCAAAGCTATGGTTTTTCCTGTAGTGATGTATGGAAGCAGGAGCTGGACCATAAAGAAGGCTGACCGCAGAAGAACTGATGCTTTGGAATTGTGGTGCTGGAGGAGACTCTTGAGAGTCCCCTGGACTGCCAAGAGCACAAACCTATCCATTCTGAAGGAAATCAACCCTGAGTGCTCACTGGAAAGACAGATCCTGAAGCTGAGGCTCCAATACTTTGGCCATCTCATGAGAAGGGAAGACTCCCTGTAAAAGACCCTGATGTTGGGAAAGTGTGGAGGAAAGACGAGAAGGGGACAACAGAGGACGAAATGGATGGACAGCGTCATCAAAGCTACCAAGATGACTTTGACCCAACTCTGGGAGGTAGTGGAAGACAGGAGGGCCTGGCATGCTCAGGTTCATGGGGTCATGAAGAGTCGGACACGACTTAACGACTAAACAGCAACAACAATCTCCAAAGGGCCCAATAGCCAAGCAATTAACTTTGGTGACACAAGTATGCAGCCCAGTGTCCTGGGATCACATCAGATCTTGGGGTGCACAAGCCCATTTTGTGAACATTTTTAGAAAGCTAGAGGGTGACATGATTTAGCTAAAATGATGGAAGGGAGGGCACCCATATTAACCGTACTCTCCACCTATCCTTTAAATGACACGGAAGCAGGCACTGTCTGGTATTTTTCTACTTGACTTTTTCCTGCTTGGTTGCTGGGCAATACCTACTCACTTAAACGTCTCCTCTATTGCAGGTAGGCAGCCAAGATCTCTGGATCAGTAAGGGAAGACTGTCGAGGCCTTTGTGTCAAAGTGGAAGGTGATCATTGCAAAGACCAGCTGCTCCAGAGCAGCATGGGACAAGGAGTCCTGTGAAGGAAGCTGACTGAAGCTCCTTAGGGTCTTTCTGAAGTTGCCCATGATCTGTGACTGTGCTGTGCTTTTGTCTCGCTAAGATGTCTCTGCCGCCAAACCTTACACAGCCTGTGTATCAGCCACAGCCCTCTAACTCAAGTGGTGGTCTGCAGGGCTTGATCAATATGATGCACTCTTTTCTGGGGCTGGTGCAACCCAACAAATTCCCAACAGGTAAGAAGTACAGTAAGTCAGGAACAGCGGTGCTAGACATCTGTCATCCAAAGCTTATGGTATAAGAGATAATCAGGTTATATAGTAGTGGAGGACTGACTGGTGTTTTCTATAGCAATGTAATCAGCAACTATTTTTCTGCATTGTACTCTTTTGTTAGTGGGGTTGCTTTGGGGCAAATATTGTTGACTGTTCTGAGTTCCCAGAAAGAAGTGGGGAATCTATTGTGAGGTCTGGGTGACAAACAGCTAATTTCAAGTACTCTGCTATAGCACTGGGGGAATGCAGTGATTGGCTGTCTCGTTACTGAACACAGGCACAGGATTTCACCATGCAGAGATGAGATGGTGCTGATATATTGTTTCTTTGTAAGTTGTTGTTTTGAGCCTGAACTCTGAAAATTGCGATAAAAACTGGATAGAGAACCTGGCCTTTTGTGATTAGTCTACTGGATACATTGGTTGTTCAGTGCTTCCTTCCTGAAATGCTGAAATCACAGCCTAGTTTTAGAAGGCATTCCATATTTATTGGGGGGAAAAATCATACATGCAATCCTATGTTTATTCAGAGCTAGGTTCCAGCTTTTCATTGTTTTAGTTTCTTTGGTTACTTTAAAATCTTCTTTAAACAAACTCTTTTCTTTAGCTGTGAGTAGAAGCAGTTGCATTAAGGAACTTTGGAGCCCTTTTTTGTACAGCAGTTAATGTGGGACATAACATAATATGTTGTAGTAGTGAACAGTTATCTTAACTCTGTCAAGTAATCTTTTTTCTTTCTTCCAGGGATGTGTATAGAAGTACTCTGTTTTCATTTGCAGCCTGCTGTGGAAACACACTGCTGCATTTTAGATCGAGGCAGTTTTCTTCCTGGATTATAGTGTGGCAAACTTGTTTTTCTGCTTACAGCAGAATCCAGATTTGCAAGGTACAGATAGATCAGCTCTTGTGTCAGTTTTAAAGCCACTTTCCCTTTCTTTGCACAGTACTGGTTGGCTGGCCCTTATGTCAATCAGAATAGTTACTGAGAGTGTGGAAAAGTGTGGGGAAAAGAAGAATAAAGCAGCATAAAAAAGGTTTGATTAGGTAACTGAGCAGCCCAGGGAGAACATTCTGCCTGAAACATGGAGAAAGGGGTGACACTAGGTACTCAGTTTATAGCCTTGATACGTGTGAAGGGAAAGCTTTAGGGAAACAGAGCTCAGTCCACAACAAGGTCACCAACACCAGCTCCTTTTTCCATGAAAACCATTAAGAGGAGCCATGCATGGCAGCCCTTAGACTTTTTTTGCCATAAAGCCATTGTGATTCATGGACTGTTAACAATAAATTCTGGTAAATCATTCAGGAAAAGGGAGTGGCTAAACTCTGGGCATTTTTGTACTAGAGTCATAACATTCATATGTTCACGTACTGCTCATAGCGATGATGTAATATACTGATTTCCTAAAATACATTATCTGGGGGATAGATGAGAAGCCAACAGTTATTATTTGTGTTGTTATCCAATTTATGGATGGGTTTTCAGGAGGCTTTCTCTGAATATGAAAATGGGCATATGGAGGGGAGCAGGTGCGCTTGGTTGCTCTGCTTGCGGAGGCTTTCTCTGAATATGAAAATGGGCACATAATTTGGTTGCTCTGCTTGGTTGCTTAAACCTGTATCTCCTTACTATTGCTCTGAAATCAGAGGCAGATCAAGCTGGGAGGAAAATGCAGAGGTATCATGGAAGACCGTTGGAGGAAGATGTCGTGCTTTGCTTGTTGAAAATATTTCTATCTTGTCCTTCAACTCGTCATTTTAGGAGTGACTGAATCAAAATATGTTAGATCTATTTGAAACATAGTCGAAAGCATTGCTTAAAACAATCACAACCAAGGAGGAAAAACAAGAGTTCTCAAGTCTTGGGAAAATGCAGATATCGCTTGATACTGGAAAGACTTTGGTAGAAGCACCCACCTGAGAGGAGTTCCGCAACTGAAGGATCCAAAATGAAACAGGTCCCCCCACCCCCCCAAAAAACAGAGAAGTTAGGCTTTTAAAATTTTGAATTCTTAGAACTCTCCAGCCAGCATGGTAACTGAGTGTGCTGAGCACAGCTACTGACAATTTTGCCAGCCAGCGTTTCCAGTAGCCGCACTGGCTGGGATTTCTGGGTGTTGTAATCGAAAACAGTCACTTTCACAAGCTCTGTAGCCAACTGCCTCACTTCTTTCTAGGGGATGAATCCTCAGCATTCCCACTAAGAACCCAAAGTCCTCCTGGGCCATTTGGTATGGGTAGCTTGTAAGTCTTGCCATTGACAGAGGAGGAAACATCTTCAAGGCATGACAGATAGCTCCACATACAACATGCTGATGTGGAGGCCTGTCATGGTTCCCCAGTCAAACTCCCTCTTTACAGCTATTCAGCCACAGTGCATCTCATCCTGAGGTGGCAGAACTCAGAGGGAAATCAGATGTGGGGAAGGCTAGGGAAGTTTGACGGAAATGATATCCCCCCCCCAACTTCCTGGCCTCCCAGACTTAGAGCTGTTCTGGGGTGTTTAACAACAACAATAACAAATTCCCAAGGCTAGGCACTGAGAACTAGCATGCCAGTCTTGTGAGATAGCTGCCACCACTCCTACACACCAGCACCACAAAACAAACACAAACGAACAACGGCAAACCCAGTAGGTGGTTCAGGCAAGGACTGATTTTAGTACCATTAAAGTAAGCAAGCAGGCAGGCAAAAGTTCCAAATTGTTAAAAGAAACAGTTTATCAAAATACAGGAGCGAATGTGGGGACAGGGCTACAAGCATTCAAGAAGAAAACAGACCAGAAAATAATAAAAGCTAATCTACCCTATCCATACTCACACCTGAGCAGAGAAATAGCATAGTATGGGACATGTACAGAGTGCTTCTTCCTGACACAGCTTCATAGGATGGCAAATTGACACAGGTTCTCCTCATGAGTCAGGCTGAGTCCCTTTGAGGCATTACTGAGCAGCAGGGGAGCAAAGCATTGTTCTCCTCAGAGACATGCTAGGCTCACTAACTAACTGGTTTCTTGATTTTTATACAAGTGAATGGACCCTTAAGCACCTGTTCCCAACAATATCTTAAGTCCCTTTCATGTTCAGTCAGAACAAAAGGCAGCTTCCTGACTTGCTGCCATTTCCCTGTCAAATTTGCATAACTTTCTGGGAAGGAAATTACTGACTTCAAGGGTTGCAAAATGCATTAGAGTCCTCTTGGAGTGGCTTTAATATGCCCTGTGATGAAGATAAGCATGGAAGCATCTGCTTCTTGCTCAGCCCTTTCTTCGAAATGTTCAGTAGCAGAAGATGAGTTGAAGGTGTGAATTGCCTGTTTTCAGACTGACCTCTGCCTGTTAGGTCAGCTTCTCAGGCTCTTAGAGAAGCATAGAAGAGTCCATTAACTGAACTCCATATTTCATATACCACAAGTTCTGTCTCTTCACAAGGCCTGACATGAAATTTGCTGAAGCATAGATAATTATAACCAGGCATGGAAAGGGGCAAACAAGATGATAAACGGCCTGGAGTAACTATCCTATGATGAATGATTACATCATCGAGGGCTGTTTAGTTTAGATAAAAGTGAGTAATATGAGATGTAATGATTGTAATACTATATGTGATTTCTGCTATCAGAAAGAATATGCCTTCCAATACCATCTGCTGGGGAACAATGCTGGTGTGTCCATATCTTGCTTGTAGACATTCTATAAATGTCTGGCTGGTCCCCGTGGGAACAGAATGCTGGTCTCAGGGGGCGAAGATGGTCTGAGTCAACATGGCTCTTTTTGTTTTTTTCCCCGAGGGACCTCACATCAACTCATCTCCATGCCCTTCATCTTAAAATTAAGATAACCGCTTTTTGCTTAATATTTGTAAGAAACAGGAAACTGATGAAAGAAATGTGGCTGTTCAGCCTGTGGTGACCTGCTTTCGCTACACTAATGAAGACACAGGCCATGGTTTTATGCTCTTATTAGGTTGCATAAAGTGCTTCTTGTGATGCAACTCCAAATGTTGAATTTTCTTAGTAGCATTGTTGCATGCTGAATCATGTTCAGTCTGTAGCCAACTCCATGCCCTTACAATTTTGGCTTTCCTAACACGTCCTTTCTCTTTCTCCTTCAAGGACTAGACACAGGCTCCTAAAATCACACTTTTGTCCAGACATGGTATAATGACCTTAAGTCACAGCCAGCTTTTGCTAACTGGTGGCATGGTTCATCTGGAGGTCACTGAATTTGGAACTACAGTATGGTTACATGTGAGTAAGATCCAGCCTAGCATAATCTTGCTGGATTAATTCCAAGATCCAATTGGCTTGATATTATACTTCCAAGAGTATCTATCTTAGAGGTTCTGTGATGACAAACAGCCATTCATAGACTTAGAAGTTTATTAATCTTGTCAAATACTTAAAACACATGCACATAAAGAGGAAAGAGATGTGTGAAGAAATATTTCTTTTTGACCCATTGTCATGTAAAGTGCGGATGGGGTGGGGTCTGACTCTTTATAGGAAATGGAATATGGGGAGAAGAAAAAGAATGCTCTGTAAATTTAAGCCATTTTCTCCCTATCTGACTCATTGCAATGAGGAACGAGGAAATGTATAAACCCTATGAAACATAGAAAGGGAAGATGAGGAAACCGGTGGAATTTACTCACCGTTGTATTCCCTTTCTTTATAAAGTTATGTCACACCTCCGCTTCATCTATGTGATGGTTTCGCCTCAGCTAGCAACCACCAGGGCATCTAGTGAAATACATTTCCACAAATTATATGTTGTGAAGAATTCTTTTCTTTGGCTCATTCTGAATCCACCAATAGTCAGTTCTGTTGGATAATCCTAATGTATAAACCCTGTTTGGATATTAGAAAGGAATTATGGTGAATGGTCATGCATAGAGGAGAGCACACCCTGTAGCCCTGCCTCCTTGGCTAAGACTTCCATCACCTCCTTATATGTGGAGGGCA